TATTAGTTCAATTATTTGTTGATGGATATTTTATAATACACCTAATATTTTTTATTTTATTTTATTTTAACGTTAAAATATTTAACGTACGTGGTAAACTTGAAAGAGTTTATCCGTGGTCGTACAAAATTGAAATAAAAATAAATTCAAATGAAAATTAATAAAAAAAATATATTGTAAAGAAATTAATTACAATTTTTATAATAAATTTTTCAGAATTATATACACGAATATCTACAATCGATTATTTTCTAATACATCTAACATAAGATATGTTTTACGTCATCGATACAATGATGACAATGACGAATGAGTTAGAAAAATTTAGAACAATAACGTCTTCTATGCGATGCATGTTCATGTGCATACAATAGAAGTAGCAAACATAATATAAGTATACTATATATTTACATCCACACTTACATACATCTTTCTAATAAATATATATACATACATGTGTGTATACAATGTTGCAGTCGATAAAAGTATTGGAGCAGGATAATCGCAAGTATAGAAGCTTTTGTTGTTTCTAAGCATAATTTCATAAAATCGAGCTTATGGTTAATGCTAATAATAATAATAATAATAATAATAATAATAATAATAATAATAATAATAGTAATAATAGTTAATGGTTTGTACTAATGCATTTGTGTAATGTGTAATTGGATTTAGCTTAAAGAGAATCACGTTATAAACAAAATATATTGTATAAATTTGTAAGAAAGAAATTAAAATATTAAAATAATTTTAAAAATATAAAATATTTAATATATAAAAAAATATAAAAATATTTTAGTAAAATATTTTAAAATAACTAAAATATTAAAAATATTTTTATTATAAAATAAAATAAAATATAAAATATTAAAAGTATTTTATATATATTTTAAAATATTTTTTATATATTTATTATATATAAATATTATATATATGTAAATAAAAAATATTTCAAATTTCATATTAAAAAAAATTTATATAAAAAGTAAAAAAAAATAAAGTAATTATATTATAAAAATTGAATAAATAATATTAAATATTTATTATATTTATTTAATATTATAAAATTAATATTAAATTAGTATAAAATTAATATTACAAAATTTAATATTATTAAATATTTATTTAATTGAAAAATGTAATGTTTCAAATATTTTCTATATATATAAAATAGAAAGTTAAAGAAAGATAGAAAGAGTGAAATTAATCAGAGCGTAGTAAATGAAGTTTAACGAGAGGAACCTTGGTTTAAATTCTACAAGTTTGTCGATTGTGATTCAAGTTCCGATTGTAAAAGTAAAGTTAGTAATAGTAATGGCATAATTAATGAAAATCGTATGATTGGTTCAAAAGTTATTAGAAATTGGTGTACTCTATCTATTCTCGATTGGATCTCGTCTCTGATCGGTCAGGGATCGAGGAATACACCGTTCTGCGAGGTTCTTTATGCCATCAATGCGTACGACAGAGTGGAATCCAGTTGGAAACCGGTACGGCAGGTTCCCCATGGTCGCGTTTGCTGTTGCTCTTCTTGCCTATGTATGTGTGTGTGTGTGTGTGTATGTGTGTGTTAATATAAGTAGAGAACTTCCCGTACTCGTAACTCATAAAGCTCCGATAATACCTATCCCTATGTTCGACATAAAAATACTACTTCGATCACATCGTGGCCAAAGACCCCTCTTCCTTTTAATACCTACTACTCTCTCCCTTCACCCTACCTACCCTTCATCCCTTTTCCACTTTCTCTTTTTAGATATTTTTATTTATATTACTTTTTTTTTATTATATATTTTGTATATATTTTTTTTTAATATTATTTTTATATATTTTTGCTTATATTATATTTATATTATATTATATATTTATATTATATGTATATTATATTTATATTATATTATATTTAAATATATCTATATTATTTTTATTATATTATATATGTATATTACGTATACACACGTTAGATATTATTTTATCAAATACATTTATTTCTCAAATGATTTGTTTATTAAACAGTTAATTGTCGTACCCTTGTTTAATAGAACACGCACCGTTTTGTGTCTTCAGAATTAAGCAATGAAGAATATACTCGTTAATACCACTTCTACGTAACGAGTATACTCGTCAATCACATTAAACGTTTTAAATCCGATGAAAGAAAATATGTTTGTTCGTTTTAAAAACTTTATCTCATCTCAAGGATAGAGGAGGAGTTTTGGTTTTTTTTTTATTGATTTAAAGGATTTTGATATATTGGATTTCTTTCTGGAAAACTGTCAAAATGAAAATGAAAATGAATATAAAAATAAAATAAAGGAAAAAAATGGGTTAATCTATCTTACTTCTTATCTCTGTTTCTGTCTTTTAAAAATAGTTTTCCTGTTAGTCGTGTTGTTTTATCGAGTTTGAACCGTACCCATTACTTTGACTACATAAGTCTCTCTCTTTCTCTTTCTCTTTCTCTCTCTCTCTCTCTCTCTCTATCTCTATCTTTTGTGAATTCATATGTAACCTAGATATTTTCTCATATGCTGCTAGTTTTTTTAAATATGTTCTTCCTCAACCAAATAAATATTAAATTTCTATTACTCTAAGACATCATTTTGGAAACTAACTCTTTAATGATATTTTACTATGAATAAAAAATAATTAGTGACGTATGAAAAGAGAGCTAGTGTATGTAAAATAATTTATTTTAATAACTGTAAAAAAAATATATATATATGAATATTAAAAATATTATTAATTGGTGCATCATTAAAAAAAAGTGAGTAAAAGAAGTAAAACGATTTATTTTAATAACTTTTTAAATTTATTATATATATATTTAATTATAATTTATAATATATATCATAATAATATTTTTAATTTTATATATTATATATTTTTATATTTATTATTTTATAATTATATTATTATAATTATATTATATATATTATATAAATTATATATATTAATTTA